CACACACACACACACACACACACACACACACACACACACACACACACCACTAGACCCTAATAGTGGCTATCTGACAGTGTACGCCCGGCCAACCGAGGAGGTCCGTCGGAACTTCGAGCACACGGCTGGCGGTTTCATCCCGGCCGGGACCCTACGCTCGGCGGTCCTCTTTGCCGGGGCCCCCTCTGCGGTACGCGTGCTCGCCCGACGGGCAGCCTTCTCGGCCAGCGCGGCGGCCTGCTCGGCCGCCGGCTACCTGATGGGGATCGGGGACCGGCACTCGGACAACCTGCTTGTTGATCCGGCTTCTGGCCGGGTGATTCCCATTGATTTTGGCCACGCCTTTGGCAGCTCGACCATGCTGCTGTCCTTCCCGGAGTTGATTCCCTTCCGGCTGACACGGTGCGCACCCTTTGCATGGGCCAGGAAAGGGGGGAAGATCCCTCTTCCTGAGTGCTGCCCTCCTTCCCCTCCGCCCCGCCCCCGCCATGGCCCGTGCATCACTGACACCAGGCCCACCCGGGGCTCGCCCACAGCCAAATGATCAATGTCCTCTCGCCGCATGGCACGCATGCCCTCTTCGAGCCGGTGATGGTGGCCCTGCTGGATGCGTGGCGCCGCGCGGCGCCAATCATCTCGGCGGCCTTGGCCGTCTTCCAAACCGAGCCGCTGCCCTTCCTCCAGTCGCTTCTCGGCCTGGGAGATCGGGCAGCCGGCGGCGGCCCCGGGGATCCCACGCGCGGGGCGCGCGCCCGCACGCTGCTCTTCCTGGCCATGGCCAAGCTGTCGCTGGCTCACCCGGCCTTCGTGACGGCCGTCGAACTAAGCCAGTCGGTGGTGCGTACACGGGCACCGCCCCGCGGGTGGCCAGCCTCCCTGGGCGCCCTGCCCGGGCAGGGCGCCTCCCCCGGGCTGGAGGGCGATCCGGTGGTCCGGCAGATGGTCGCCTGCCTGGCCGGCTTGCCGGGGGATGTGCGCACCCGGCCGGGCATCTTTGCCGGCCAGCCCTCGGCCGCCGATCCCACGGCCGCCGATCCGGACAATCCCTTTGGCCCGGCGTTCGCCTTCTCCGAGCTCTTCCTGGACATCGTCGGCCAGTCGGCCGGTAGTGGCCAGGCCCCGGCCACCGCCACCGGCCGGCACCTGAGCGCCCTGCTGGCGGACCCGCTTGTGGCTGACACACTGGCGGCCGCCGGCTACCCGGTGGCCGGGAGCGGTGCGGCCACCGCCGCCGCCGGTGCCACCCCGTGCGAGGGGCTGGACCAGTCGGCCGCCGACGCGGCCCTCATCCGGTGCTCCAGCACCGCGGCCCAGGTGGCCTGCCTGGTTGAGCAGGCCACCGACCCGGCCATCGTCGGGCGCTGCTGGCGCGGCTTGATGACCTGGCTCTAAAAATGGCGGGGGGGGGGGTGGGCTGGGGCGGCGGCACACAGACACGCGTCCACGTCGGAGATCATAGTCTAGATCTGCGGTTCTGATCCTCGGGCTGACCGTGCTCACGGGATCGCCCCGATCGTCGACCATCAAACCCCCTCTTTCGCCGGGCATTCTCTCGGCCGATGCCTGACCAAATGAATGCATGTTGTATCTTCGCGCGTGTGCAGGGGGAGGGGGGGCGTGTGTCTGTGTGCACCTCGGCGCTTCCTGCATTTGCCCCCCTCCCCCCTTCCTCGGTAAGCTGGAGGGGGGTTGGAAGAAGAAACAAGGGGCGCGAGCTCGTGGCTTGGGGGGGGGGAGGGGGGGGGGGGGGGGATCGGTTCCGTATGCGTTGTTTGTGGCGTGGATGCGCACACAATTGCCCCTCCTGATGTGCTCATGAAAGTGCGCCCCCCGTCTTCTTTTTTCTGTCAGACGCGGCAACAATCCGGACTGGCGCTGCTTAATAAATAGCCGCCCGGGCCAGGAAGCCGGCGGGCGGGCCACCGGTGATACGGACCGAGGGGGGGGGGGGGGGGGCCGACGATGGGTCGGAGTCGTGGCTCGGCCCCGCACGGGTACCGCGCGCGCGCGCGCGGAGAAAAGGGGGGAACAAAGGAGCCGGCAAAAAGTCTGGGCTCCGAGCGCGGGCGGCACTTGCCTACGCCCGCCCTTTGGGTGCGGGGCGGGGGGGGGGGGGGGGGGACGGGGGAGCATGCGCGGTAGAGGAGTAGCCACAGAGCCAGGAGTCTCCGGTGTTGTCTCGACTTTGTCCGGCAAAACATGGGTCCTGGGACGACCGGTGTTTCTGATGACCCCTGCATAAATGGGGCAGCTGCTGCCCATTCTTCACCCGCACGGCCCCGGACTTTCTCCGGGTGGATGGGGCGCGCGAGTGTCATCATCCCCACTGGCCAAGATGCCCGGGAGCCCCCCTTCCGCTCGCGGCCCGGCCACGATCAAGAGCCAGATCGCTCCGGGGCCCCGGGCGCGTCGCCACGCCTGTGGGCGCGCCCCACCGGGCCAGACGCCCTCCCCGCCCTGTTTCCCGCCCCCCCCCCCCCCCGGCAGAGGGGCGGCAAGTGGAGGGGATGCGGGAATATGCCGGGCGCGATCGCCTGTCGGCTTTTTTAAGCGGCCCCGGCCTCCCGGCCCACATTGCCACCGGGCGCGCGGCCAGACATCATCACTCTCCTCTCCTCTCCCCTCCCTCGCCGCATTCTCCCCGCCTCTTGCATAGCCCCCCTCGCCTCCGTTCCTCCTCGCGGCCCCCTCGCCCGCCCCGGCCCGCCTCTCGGTCCCGATGCCCCTCTGGCCCGACCGGCCAGATGCGCCGGCGCCGGTGCCTGGGTCTGGCACTGGACACCCGGCCCCGACATCGGCCCGGCGCCTGAGCGCCCTGCCACCCATGTCCGGCCCCCTGGCCTCGCACCAGCTGGCCGTCCATCAACAACTCCAACGGCAATTCCACCAGCAGGCCCAGCAACAGGGGCACTCGGACCCCGCGGCCGGCATGGCGCCTCCCCCGGCGGCCGGCACCGCCGGTGCCGCGGCCGCCGGCCAGCGCCCCCGGCGGACCAGCCGCATGCCCGGCTGGCCCTCCACCGGGCCCAGTGACTCGACCCCCGTCATTTCCAGCCCATCTCCCCAGCTGCCGAAGGGCCTGGCCCCCGGGCCGGGCCCCGGGCTCGGGCTTCACCCCGCCACCCCGCATGGCATCACCCATGTCAGCCTGCCGCGAGAATACCTGCCACACTCGCCGACCACCGTGCCGGCCGACAGCTGGTCACACCTGTGCTCCTTCAGCCTTTCGCGCATCCAACACCAGCAGGCCCAGGTGCTCGGGCGCATTCGCCGCATCACCCCGCCCCTGCTGCTGGCGGTGGAGGCCTGTGCCGGGGCCGGGGCCCCGGCGGCCAGCACCCCCGGCACCCAGCAGCCGGCCGACCCCTTTTGCGAGAGCCTACCCGCGGTGGACCGGCTCTTTCTCGAGCCGGCCCCCTCGGAGACCGAGGCATACCGATCGACGCTGAGCCTGGCTCGACAGCAGCCGACCGGCCGGCCAGCCGGCGCCGGGCCCGGGTCAGGGCCTCCCTCCGCCGCCGGGCGCTCGGCAGCCCTGCAGCCGGGGCTGGTCCTGCAGCCGGGCGGGGCGGTTCCCCAGCGGCGCCGACCCCCGCCGGGGGCCTCCCGGCCGGCGTCCGTCCACTCGGCCCCCGACGAGGCGGCCCTCTTCATCGACCTGCTTTCGCCGTTCGCGCGCCGGCCCCGGGCGTCGCACCCGCCACCGGCGGTCCAGTGCGCCATCGACTGGGCCAGCCTCACCACGGACAACCTGTTCGGCGTGCTGGAGCTGGCCCAGCTGGAGGTTGGAGCCCTGCTGAGTGCCGGCTTCGCGCTGGCCGACGACCTGGCCGATGCGCCGCCCGGGGGCTTTCCCCTGCTGACCGGGGCCGAGTGCTGTGCCGGGCTGGCCGGCGCCGGGGGGCCCTGCCAGGCCGCCACCACCGGCCGCCACGATCTGCCATCCGACTTGACCGACGACTGCACTTGCCAGTGTGCCTGCGACCCGTGGCTCAATGCCAGCCTCGATGAGGATCTGGCCCCGTTCCAGGGGCAGCTTGGCGATCTCTTTGCCCGGGGGCTGGTCCCCTGTCTGCATGGGATCGAGCGGCCGCTGGCCGTGTGCGACACGCGTGGCCTGACGCCGGTGCCGCTGCGCTCCGGGCCGCCGCCGCCGCCGCCGGCCCCGGCGCCTGCCACGCCCGGGCCCCCGGGTGTCGATGCCCAGGACCCCTCCCGGCCGTTGTCGGTCTTCTCGACGGTGGCCGCGCGCATGCCCTCGCGCCTGCCGGCCCCCGAGGCGGATGACATCTCGCCGGAGGCGCTGGCCTCGCTGCATGTGGCCGCGCCGGACCGCATCGCTCGGCGCCGGGTCCTGGCCCTGCGTGCGCGCATCGACGCCATCAAGGCCGTCCTGCTGGTGCGCGTGCTGGACGAGGACCCCTTCGGCGAGGCCCTGCCGGACTCGGTGGCACCGGCCTGCCAGGCGGCATCGGGCGTCCGGTCTCCGGGAGGCATGCTTACCGGAGCGCCGCCCTCCCGCGGCAGCAGCCAGTATGGCGGCCCCTCGGTGACGACGGTGGCCCTGCCGGCGCCCCGGACGCCGGAGCTCGAGTCCCCGCGAATGAGCATCCCCCCCGAAGCGGAGGTCCTCCGGCGCTTCCATGCCCCGCCAGCGCCCGCGGCGCCCGGTGGCTCGCCCTCCGGCCCGTACCTGGAGACCACCTTCTCCAGCCAGTCCTCGCGCCCTTGGCTCAGCGGGGCCATTCGGTCGCGGCACAATCCCGACGATCCGGATGCCCTGGCGATCGAGCAGCTCAGCATCGGGCCCCGGGCCGATGAGGCATCGCCTGCCATCGGGGCCCGCCCCGGGCGCGAGTCGTTCCGTGAAATTTCCAGCATGTGGGAAGCCCGCGGGGTGCCGGGGATCGGCGGGGCCGGGGGCGGCGCCCCGGCCAGCCGGCCGGTGGTCCTGCGGCCGGGATTCACCCCGCCGCCCCTGGTGCCCCGGGTGCTGGCCGCGCCGAGCGGCACCGCCATGGATGAGCCTCCCCCCGTCGTCCTGGCCATGCCACCGCCGGCGGGTCCATCTGCCCAGTCGGACTCGGCACCCTCTTCGCCGCTGGCGGCGGACCCGCCCCCCGGGGGAAGCTCGGATCCGGTGCAGGCCCTCGCCCCGGCTGGCGGCATTGTGTCGATCTTTTCGCGAAGCTGGGCCACAGCCGGCACCAATTCCCGGCCGTATCCCCTGTTGGCGGAGGATCCCGGCACCCGGAGCAGCGGCTTCTGGAGCGGCACCAGCGGCGGCGCCAGCGCGGCAGCCCCCCCGGCGCCGGGTCCCACCAATGCATACTCCCTGCTGCCGCCCTGGCCCGAGGCCCTGTCTGGCGGCCTGGCGGCCGACAGTGGCACCCACACGACGACGACGACGACGACGACGACGACGACGACGACGCCCTATGTGCCGGGTCTCGGGACGATGGTGCAGCCCTGGAGTGTGGCCAGCCGGAATGCCGGCAGCGATCGGCTGGTTGTTGCACAGCCCAACCACTCGCCGCTGCTGTCGGGCCTGCATCAGCTGGCCGACTCGCGCGGGGACTACTCCGGCGTGGGGCTACTTCCGGAGGCCAGCGATGACGAGGGCGATGAGGCCACCGGGCTTGGCCGCCCCGGCGACCAGGCCCTTGCCCTGGATCCGGTGACCGCCTTGCGGCAGGCCCGCCGGGCGGACTGGCGCTTCCGCTACCACCGGCTGTGCGCCATGTCGGCGGACTTCTGGCTACGCGCCGGGCGCCGGCACTGGCGCCCGGCCGACTCCCCGGCCACGCGCAACCTCGACCAGAACCTGGCCCTGGCCCTGGGGGAGTATTCCCACCTGGCGTGGATGCGGGCCAACCGGCTGTCCCTGCGGCGCTTGTTGCTGCGGTCGCCATCGCGGGGCCTGGCCGGCGGGCCGGTTCAGGCACCGGTCACGACCGTGGTCCCCCCACACAGCTCGCCGCCTGTGGCTGTATCCCTTCCCCGGTCTCTGGCCGAAACGGCCCTGGCCGACATGTCCTGCCTCAATCCGGGCCCCGTGAGTCGGGAATTCTGGCTCTCGCGGGCGACGCCAGCCGACACGGATGTCTGGCCTGCGGGCGGGCCGCCGCCGGCCGAGCATGGCTGGGCTCCGCTGAACTATGGCCAGATCCCCTTTTCCCTGGAGATCAAGCGCCGGATCTTCGAGGAGGTGCGTGTCTCTTCTCACGGGGCCGAGCAGGGGGGGGGG